ACCCTCACCAGAGCTGACCAACTCATGTCCTTAATTAACCCTGCACTGAGAATGTGCTCCACCAGTGATGTTTGGTGCTGTGTTTGAATATACTGTACCATGTTAGTGCAATAAGGTGCCCTCACCTGACGACTGCTGGAACTGGCCTCAAATCCCTGTGGATCTGAAAATGAATGAGCAACAGAAGATGAATGAATAAAGGGAGGATTTTCAAGGCTTCTTTTTACACACTAATAAATGAGTTTTAAGCAGCAAATGGTTTTAAAAGTTACAGAGCACAAAATATTTTACAGGAATTCTGGGCCAACACAGTTGAAAATTTTAATTTTATTTGACCACTTATTAACATACAGGGGTCACCAGCTATATTTTCCGGAGGACCAGAATATTTCTGGACAGATGCCTTGTGGTCAAACACAAAATATAATAAAAATACCTTTATTGTCTAACATTGTTATTTGATGTTTCGTTTGTAATCCAACTGTGGGCCAGATTACACAGTTCAGTGGAAACTGAACTGTCGGTGGCAGGCCACCAGGTTACAATCACTGATTTAGAGATTAGATAGTATTTCTAGTTTAATTGCAGTGTTTTTAGGAAATCGATCCATGAACTAACCGATTGTATATTGGTAAAGGTATTTAAAAGTACTAATATACTCTCCTATTCTGTCACAGGACTAAGTACATCCAGTTGTTGTGGAGATCTGTCTGTGGGGTGATGACAGCAGCCCTGCAGTACCCCAGCTACTGAAGTTAAAATGTTATCATGAATGTGCTCAAGCAAAGAGCTTGCCTTCACATCTGATAAATGATGTGTAAGAAGACGAACACACTGCAAACACCAGGGCTTTGTCCAAACATTACATCAGAAGAGGCAGAAAAGTTCCTGCTCTACAAACAGCCACACACACTCACTCTGCTGTGTTGGCAAAACCCAGGAATCCTTCAGTTTCCTCAGAGACCCTGACTGTCAATAGTGGGGAAACATACAGTATATATATAATTATTACAAAAAGACATGAGAGAATCAGCAGATCTCAACCGTGAAGGTTTGGTAGTCAGGATGTGATGTGGAAATAAGACGAAGAAAATCACTGAAAACAAATGTGTGCACAGCACTACATGATTAAGTCAATGACCGTGGTCATTGACTTAATCTAAGTCTAAGTATCTAAGTCTAGACAATTAGACACTGACTGGACTGTCTGTGACTCCCAGCTCCACAGGTTAACTTATGGCTTTAGTTATTGTCTGTTCACTTTCTTTGTGTCTCACCATGTTTCTCTCTGTGGTGCTGCTCTCCCCCTCTCGTGTGTCTACTGTCTACACCTCCTCCGTCTACCATGGTGATCACCTAACCACCTCCACCTGTGTCTCATTAACTCCTCCCCTGTCTGTAGAGAAACCCTGAACTCACCTTTCTTGGTTGCCAGTTCAGCAGCTTGTCTTCGTAAACCAGCCTTATTTACTTCTCCCAGTGATCTCCACTCCACAGTTGTAGCCACCTAGTGTTTCCACTTCTGTCTGATCTGCTGACCACAGTTTTGGGAATAAGTTTGTTTGTAATTTTCTGATTTTCTCAACTCTCAGATATTCACATATATTTCTATATATTTATATACTCACATATATTTGCATAAATATGTAAATGTTTGCAGCTGTAACTACCGTTCTGAAACTCAACACATACCCTAAAGCTCTGACACTCTGGCACTGACTCGTTCTCAGTGGACATCAGTGCCTGGACGCCTGCTCTTTCATCACGGCCACAGACAATAAAAACCTGACTGTTGCCGTCATTTGACCTGGGAGTGAATGTGGATTTTATCCGTTCTTACTGCAGACAAAAGACAGATGTTACTGGGTGTTGGTGGGTTTTTTCTGTACAAAAGACACTTCACAGTATGTGTACAGTATTTCTTGATGATTTCTTAATTTGGTCTCTTTCCATTGTGTGTGTAATTCACTTTCACTTAATTAATATAGAAGTCAGTTGGTTTTATTATTATTATTATTATTATTATTATTATTATTATTTGTTTAGTTGTTGTTGCTTTTAAGTAAAAACAAAAGAAAGAAAGAAAGAAAGAAAGAAAGAAAGAAATAGAAAGTTTCCGTAGTTCAAAACAATACTTCCATCCTTCAGGTCTGCATTGCTGCCAACTTTTCTGAAATATATTATCACACTTTTGGGTTTTTTTATTTTCTGTCTGATAATTGTGTCTTTCCTTTTCTCCCGTTTGAATACAGCTCTTATCACAGACTCTGTTCTTGTGTTAAGAGGAGAAAGCCAGACTTTCTGTGGACGCTGGTGGAGTTTCTCACTCCTATTGTCTCTCAGAGGACACTCAGTCTGCCCAGACCCAGCTCACGCCCTCTGTCACCGTCCATAATCCTCATATCAGCAGCAATGAACCGTCACATCTTCATATCAACGATCACTGCCTTTTAATAATACAGGAAATTGCTGGTCTAGGTAGGTGTCTGCAATGAATATTCCAGATCTGCAGAGGGGCTTGATTAAAGACGAAGAAAAGAAGGATGAGAAGAAAAATTTCCTGTTAACTGCTGCTTTATGAAAATAATATTTTATAAATGGAAGTGATGACCATTTCTGCAGCGTGTGTTTTTCTGCATCCTCAGAAAGTATCAGATCTGAGGCACTCACACACACACACACACACACACACACACACACACACGATTACAGTATGTGTTTCTTAAAGTGATGTTGAGTGTATGTGGAACCTTTAATGACCATAGTTAGAAAGTGCACTTAAAAAAGAAAACCAAGTGATTCAGTGTGTGTGTGTGTGTGCGGCACATTACACACTCAGCCCTGACTGATGTGTTTAAAGACACACCGGTCGCTCTGATTACCATCTACGTAGCTCGCCATAAATAATGAGATTGAGCTCAATTAGGATCCTCCTGAGGTGTAAAACAAGTGGAGACACACACACACACACACACACACACACACACACAGTTGGCCTGCAGTCACACACACAGCTCTCGCTCAACCTGCTGGGGGGAAAACAACCCCCGGGTCACTGTTTATCCTGAACATCAATGAGCCGCTGTGTGCTGAGCTTAGCCTGAAGAACGGAGCAGACACCTCCAGGAATGATAGCATCTGATCTCTCAGCCACTTGACGAACAACAGGACGTCGCGGCTCCCACCTTCTCCCTGCAGCTGCTCCACCGCGGCCGATCGGCCATCCATCTTGCAGCTCTCACCCTGTTTTCCTGTCTCCACTGGTCAGACATGAGGACCGGAGAGGCAACTCAATCTCAGTCACGTAAGCTGGGAAACGGTGGAGCTGCAGACACCTTATACAGTGAGCTGTGGACCACAGGCCACACGCGTGTAACACTACACAGGAAGTGAGTTGTGGAGAAAAATGAGCGTACGCAAGTGCTGTTACAGCTCTGCAACCTATTTTCGATTATTGTCATGATGACGGTCCTACATGCAAGGTGAAACACAGGGGTTTGCTTACACAAGCGTGAGCATAAATAATTCACTTTGACGCACAAATAAGTATTGAAACAAAATACTTTAAATGGCATGTCATTTTGAACCTTATTAGGTTGTTAGGTGACAGATTTAAATAATATAAAAAGAAACACCACTGAAATATATGTACTTTATATAAAAGGCAGTAACTCTTACAAAATAAAAAAGTTGTTAAAATTGCAATGATTCTTCACCGATTTCTTCCAGACAAGATGGGAAATTAAACAAAAATCTTGAATTCTACTTTCAGGTGTTAAGTAATGTTCAACATTTTACACCCATTGCTTCAAAAGACAGTGTACTAAACCAACAACTCGCAAAAGTTCTACATCCCAACTGGGTCGACACACCCTCAAATCCCGACACTTTTGAGAGAAAAAAAAAAATAAACACAACAAGCATTCCTATAAATGCAGAATGTAATCATGTGTAATCATGCTCAAATGACAGCACACAGCACACATATAACACACACATATATGGCCTGCATTTATTTATACATTAAAAAGTCAACTTTTGATTAAAGAAATGTTTATTTTCACATCCTTATTGTGTGGTAAAATCCCACTTAAAAACCACCACTCTAAGCCGCCATCACATTGTTTTTACCTCACGGAGCTTCCTCACACTCGGGGTACACGCCCCACACTTTGGGAGTCCTTGTGTTGAATAATTCTGCTTAATGTAAGACGTCAAACCATAGAATGGTACATGTTAAATAGTCCGTCATTTTTTTATAATCTTGGTGAACTCTCAGAGCTCTTCATGAACGTGGGGGGTGGAGCCAATCCCAGCAGTCATCTTCAGTCATCAGTCATCGAGCAAAGGAGGGGGTTACATCCTGGAGAGTTCACCAGGTCATCACTAAAGACTGGTCCACAGTGTGATCTGTCATTGTTAGTGAAGCCAACGTAAAACATCCCTGAGTAAATATGAAGGCTGTGAATGAATACATTCAATTAATTACTCTGTCCCAAATATGGTCGCACTGTCACTCATCTGAGCTCCTTGTTGTTTTCGACAAACAGGTCTGCACCTTAATTAAGAGCTAATAACAGTCTAACCTGTCCAGGTCTGGGCTGTTGACAATGTCCTGAGGGATGGAAAATATTTATTTTCAGGCCATAATCAGGTTGACCTATTTGGTTCAAACACTGTAATGAAAAGAGCATTGTTTTAGTTTCTTATTCATTTTAGTTTTCCAAATCACCAAAGTGCACCGAGAAGTGAATCATGGGTAAAAACAATAAGAGCATTAGTGCGAAAAACAAAAGCTTCAGATGACTCAGAGTCTTAGTCACCAGACTAAGACTTTGTGATGACCTTGAGTGAATTATAATTCAAATGTATATTTCCTGACAGGTCTTTGAACGCTGCAGGTTCCTCTCTGATTGACAGCTACAAGGCTGTGGAGGTGAGAGAGACAGAAAAATCATCATCACTTTATTAAAGAAATTGTCGTTTTTCAAGGGAAACTAGAACGTATCCCATAAAGGTGTGGTCAGTCAGTCAGTCAGTCAGTCACAGACAGTCAGTCTGTCGGTCTTCTGGGCCTTCTATTTTATGGTGTGCTGGTGAGGCGGGCTCATATATGGTTTCACTCCTCTTGGCAGAGACAGGCCTAGCTGCTGACAGCAGGTCTTATTTGATGTGGATGTCCCGTGTTGGGTTTCAGTCCCAGCTTCAACACATGATCTCCATTATGACCAGAAGAGGAACGCATGCTGGTGGATGACTGGTGACTCTTATGGCAGACAGAAGGAAAGGGGAGGAGGGGGTAAAGGAAGGGGGCAAAATCCAACGGATGTAGATGATGGAGAAAAGTCGAGTTAGAGAGAAAATGGATCAGGTGAACGAGCCAGGAGGGGGGAGTGTGAGGAACGAGGGGAACAGATAACTGAAACAAGATGTTAGATGTGAGTGAACATAGCAACAGTCAGTGGGGTTGCTCCTTCACTGATAGCCATATGAACAGCAGATGGGCCTTGGATTATATGTACGTGTGTGTCTGTGTGTGTTTGTAGATGAAAATAATGTCAGATATGTCATGGGTTAATGTCAAGAAAAACAAACAAACAAGAGTTTCAGGATGTTTACTATGGTGAAACCAGTGACATTTTTCTTTTAATGTTTATTTTAATACTTTTGTAGATGGGAAAAAATAGTATTATTGTTTTTATTATTTTTTAACATAACATTTTAAAATATTTTAGTAATATTATTATCAAGTTCAATGTATTTAGGAACCGCTAACGCATGTGCAATCAAGATTAAGGTGTTTGTTTTTTGCTCTTTACTGTGGCTATATTGGATTTTTTTTTCAATAATACAGCATCTGTTTCCATTTTTGATTATTTATTGGCCCTGCATTGCAGAACATAAAGGAACATATTGAGTGATAAGCCTTAAACTGTTCATCTGATAAATGCCTGGCTTTTGTTCCCAATTACAGTAAACATTAAATCCCTCATAACATATAATAACATTTTTAAAGTCCAATAATCAATCGATAACTGATGGCAGCCTCAGATTACACTTTCCTGAGTGTGTCTTCCTAATATCCCTCCAGGTCTAGCCGTTTAACTGTGTAACTAATAAATTCCAGGTGTTAAATTACTTTTGTTTTAAGCGTGAACAATTAATCACGTCGATCACCTTACATGGAAGCTGCTATGAAAGGTCAGAAAGATAAGTGGCAAACCGTGGTTTTATTAATTTGGCGTAAAGATGTCTAATAAGTCAGAGTGCAGAGGAATTACTTTGGAAATCGAAAAGGTTTTGTATCGTCACATCTGAGGTGACATTAGGAAAACAACATTGACTGTGATGAAGTCATTTTAGTGCTGTGTTTGTTAAGAGTGGCCATCTTCATGCACATAGTTTACAGAGGCTTAATGTTTCAAATAAAAATAAAATATTTCGTCACTAGTAAATACATAACATAATGGGCAAATAGTAAATGTTGTACTGCAAGTATTTAAACGCTTTAAGTTAATTATGGTATTGGCGGCGAATCTTTCCTTGTGCAGATAATAACTTGAGATAACTGTGGAACTCTGTTAAATAATTTAATAGGGGAGAAAGGGCAAAAACATCATATTTATTGGATTTAAATGTTTTGGGGGCTCCTTCGCTCCACAAATTGAGCCTGCACATCATTCTATAATTCCTTCTTATCGGCCAGAGGCTTTAGTTATTTACTTTAGAATTGACTAATTTCTTATTCCAGCGGAGGGGGGACTGGCCGCTGACTTGAACAGCTGCTTCATGACCCAAAAAACTGTCAGTCTTTCCCTGGAATAAATTGTGGAATGTTCCATTAACAGGCATAGGGGGTTTCACTCAAGCGGAGGCACAACTGTGATATGAAAAACATTTTTTAGCCGTGCTTCGTCTTATACTATAGTCTTTGGTGTGTGTATATTTAAATATGGGTCGTTGTTATGAGTGTTTAGACCCGGGAAGTGGCCACACCGTCCGTTAGTCGCTGTTCTCCCCCCGCTCCTGAGAGGAAACGTTCGTGCAGGCTCATAGTAGAATCAATTCACAGAGAGGGCAACTTGAAACCGACCACTCGTGCCTGTGCGCTTAGTTTGGAGAGAGTGTCTTGTCGGGCAACTTTGGGTTTAACAGTCCGGGTAGCATCCGTGCTGTATGTACATGTCTGTCTCTCCATGTGTACGTGCATGGAACGACTGTAGTGAGAGAGGGTGACGGGGGAGACAGAGATGTGGTCGGAAATGTGATTTGTCACTGTTGGAACTTTTACAGTGGGGGGAATAATTATTTCAACCCCTGCTGAATCTGTAAGTTTGCTCACAAGTCTCTCATTTTATGGTAGTTTTATGTTAGTGGAGGGAAACCGAAGGTCAACAAGAATATGCCGGAAAAACATAATACATAAAGGACTTATTTGCATGTCACTAAGTGAAATGTAGTAAGTACTTGATTCCCTGTAATCCAGTCATAAATCTGTCTCTGATCAATTGATCAACTGATCGATCAATCCATCACCACTGATAGTCTTGATCTCGACTAATATGTAAAAACCACACCTATCCTCTGAATGCTAGTCTTCACATTCCAACATCAGCACCACAGTCAGAACTATAACAAGCACAAGACCATTATTAAAACCCCCGGTGAGAAGGTGACGACTGTGGGCATGGGGGTTTTGAAACCGAAGCGATATAAAATGACCATCAAACTTCCATCTGGAGCTCCATCCAAGCTCATGGCGTGCAGATGATTGTGATAAAGGTGGGGGATGACGTAGTGGAGGTTTATGACAGATGTTGGGGTAGAATAAAAATCAGTCCTCTAAACAAGTCAACCTCTGTCCCACAGACCACAGACGGTTGAAAAGATCTGGACAGAGCACTCCCTAAGTCTTAAGTGAAAAAAGATTTTTCAATTATGTCTCGGTCTTCTAATTATTAAAGAGACATATCAGGGCCATATACTTTAAGGTATATACTTCCACGGGTGACTGCAACCTAATTTGACAACTCAAACCAATTCAATCCTGAATCAAGAACAAAATGTCAAAATAAACAAGCAGAACAGGAGATCCGATAGGTTTATACTTGATTTGTACGGCTTTTACTCCACGCTGTTGGTACACACAATGTACATACTGCAGGATTGTGTTTGTGTAGTTTGTGTCCTGTCGACTCTATCTAAATCTTACCTGTGTGAATCCAAGATGTCCGCCTTCATTTCCTGCGAAAGTAAAAAAGAAGAAAGCATGAACATCTGAATGTTTATACTAACCTATTCTATTTGATTCTATTCTAATCACCTTCTTACTAACAGTACTGTACATGTGCTTGGAGGTACTTCAGTATACGTTGTCTACGTGGAGATCAGGACCAAACGTTAAGTACGTTTATTAGGATATTTAGTAATAATGACAACTGGTGTTTTTGTATCATGGCCACCCTTTTCGCACATAATAATATAATATCACATTAACATTTCTGCTCCCTCCCAGGCTAACATTCTAAATATATTATTCACAAATATGAACTACAATAGAATCTCCAATTTACAGGCCTGATGATCTCTGCTGCTGCTCAACTGTCACTCCTCTCTCATTATTCAGTTTATTTCCATGTGCAGTGTGTGTGTGTGTGTGTGTGTGTGTGTGGCTGGTTTAATGCACTGCAGGTTGGCTCCTACAGCAGGTCTGGCCAGATAAGAGCAGCACACCGTTTTCTGGGGGGAGGCAGTGAGGGAGGGGGTGAGAGTGGGAGGGAGAGAGGGGGCTTACCTCTTCACTCACATAAACTATTTAATTGTAATAATGGGGCCACCAGTACTCAAACCTGGATCCACAGCACCCCCATTGGGTGACTAGCTGTGTAGCACCCAAAGTGCGAGGTTCCTTTGTACTGGCAGTTTAACGTGTGTTGAATGACACACACTCCTGACTATTGTTTGCAGTTAATTAACCAGAGGCTGTAACAACAACTGTTTGTGTTTTCAACGGCTCACGGGCAGAGGAGAGTTAACAAGGCAGAGAAGTAAGACAAAGAAGCAGAGAAGAGAGGGGACGGAGGAAGACACAAGACTCTGGACATTAGAAATGAACAACATAAACTGTTAAAAAATGCCATCACACTGCCTGCTGTGTTGTGTGTTGTTTCATTTGTCTGTTTGTTCACTGGATCATTTTTCTTCTGTATGTAATCTTGGCTTCCCAAAGAAAGCTTCTTCAGAAATACTGTGTTTAAGCACATAGGAAAACTACTTGATTATATGCATTTTGAAGAGCACAAGAAGTAGTATTGATGATACTAACCTGGAGTTCAGACCACAGAAACCACAGGACCAATGATTTAACAAAGACACTGAGAAGGAGAGAGGTATTTATACCCAGGACACCAGGTGAGACTGACGACCAGGTGATCACAGGACACCAGGTGAGACTGATGACACTTGGTAATTAACCCAGGAGAGACAGGAGGCAGACACACTATTGTTATTATTATTATTAGATCTGCCAAAGGTTTGACAATGTAATTAATAGTAATATGAATGTTTTTGTTTTTTAAATCTTACGTTCTAGAAAGTCCAATCCTGGGTCTTATACCTCATACCGTACACAGCACTGGAATCAATTCAGGATCAATATGGGAGGCTGAGTTAGATAAAGGGTGACAGCTGTGTAATCAGGTGGGTGTAGCAATACTGTAAATGCAGTGGGAAGGAGTGTGTGTGTTAGAGGAGGTGAGGTGGACCAGAGTGTGGACAGGAAGAGTGGGCTGTCCTTCCAGAAAACAGAACGAAAGACAATTTTGACCTTTAGCTCAGTGGAATCACATAATTAAGATTTATTAATGTCAACCTTGGATTTTCTGTGTTTCACTTGCTTCCTTAGAACAAAGTTCTTGATGGCTGAAGTCTGTGTAGGTTCTCAGTCATCCAGGCCATCGTATCCAAAAATAGTTAGCCTCTTGAAGCCTCTTGGATGAGAGGTGAAACGTCTTTGAGAAACCTACTCCGTCCAGCTGCCCTCGATGGAACTATTTTTGGACTAAAGTGTTCAAATCAATCTGGGAATATAGGCACAGTATTAGTTTTTTTTTTAAAAAAACAACAACACATATCAGCACCTTGGTTAACAAACACCAAGCCCAGGAAAGCTGTATATTCTCCTTTCTGGAACAGTTGTCCACACACAGCGGTCAAAGCTGGGCCTCGGCTCTGATCAGGCCATAAATGTCGTTTTGTATGACATGTGTGTTTGTCTGAGCTCCAGGCTCTAAACACTATAAAAACCTCCGTTTATCTTTCCCTGTATCAACAAAAGACGAGGGACGGTGGAGACGCAGGAAGAGTGAGACAACAGGTCTCATCTGCATTAAATGAGTCAACATGTCAGTGTGCGGAGGACAACCTGTTCCAACTCCTCCTCCTTTGCCACTTTCACACGCAAATAAGGAGTCTATTTTTATCACGAGCAATCTGCTGCATACACACATGCACACACAAACAAGGACACCAGAGTGACTAAGGCCAGTACTTGAGCACCGGCTGATGATTAGGCTTTGTCTAGACATGGTGATGTAAAATAGTGCATGACATAATGCATTCATTTCCCTTGTGTTCGTATCCAGGACTAGAACCACGTACGGCTGTTCACTGTGATTTCTGAACACATGCAGTAACAGTAACTACTGCCTCATTTGGTTTTGTCTGAAAAACATGTTTTTCTCTTGACTTGGAGTCACTTCTTTGACCTCTGACCTCAGTTATTCTGTTATTTCTATTCAACACATCAACATGGCCAAAGGGTTGTAAAAACTCTGAGTTTGTTTCAGTTCACATCAGCCGTCGTGGAGCTGTTTGGCTGAAATATTGATGATAGAGTGATGTCATTGGTTACAGCATTTCAATCATTGGTAACACTTGTTGCCATGGTGATTGGTTCTCTTAACTTACAGCAAACAGACCAGTTCTGGCCCTGTCTTTGACTGACTTTCTGACACTCTCACCTTCAAAAATGTGCTCTGTGACACATGATAAAATAGGAAGGTTGGAGTGTGTGTTCAGCAGCGCCCCCACCCTGTAAAAAAAAAAGAAAATCCTAAACGACAGTGGTGCGGTTGTCGTTAGCAGCCTTTCCCACTTTAACATAAACTGAGGAGGTTCTTTCTTTAGAATTCTTTAGAGGTTAAGGGGTCAGAGGTCAAGATATAACATTACAATGTGTTATAGACTGATTTGCAGTCAGCAGGGGGCAGTCTAAGCACCTGGGGAGCAATGTGTGGGGACAGTGCCATGTTCAGAGCAACTCAGTGGTAACTTGGCAGCTGCTGGACTCAAACCTGAAACCTGCTTCCTTAACCACTAAGCCACCACTGCCCCAAAGGGAACTGTTGGTGTTTGATTGACATGGAGATTTTTATACAGCCGTCTTCCATGTGTTGTCCAGGGGACATTTACTGCTACAGGATGAAGAGGTGCTGCACCGGGGCATCTTTCCTCCACTGAGTATGTCAAAGACTGGTGTATTTTACTCAGACAGGGAGAATGACCCTGAAACAAACTGCAGGTTTTCATTTGTGTCTGTTGTTTATTACCTGTCCATCTATCACCTGCTGGGACAAACAGACAGTCTGATGATCACCACTGCCTCCACAGACCTGTGGACATGAAGAGTGGCAGCTCGGCCTTTCCCACTCTGCAGCCCCCCCACCCCACCCTCACCCCCTCCAGTGCTCACCCACAGCCACCAAAGTGGAATGTCATTGTTGGACAGTGCTATGGTTTTGATGGCATGTGACACATTACATGGAGGAGGCATGTTTTCATATGATTTTCTGTCCGCCTTCTAAACAGGAGACCATCATCTCATGCTAATTTGACATACGATACAGGAGGCTGCTTCATGTTGTTATCATGCACTGGCTCAGTGTCGGTGGTTTTTGATGCATGAAACAGAACAGAAAAACCCATGTTTTTTATTTACTTTTTTTTGTTTGTTTTTTAATTTTTTGGTCTTTACTTTATTGCATTTTTCTTTTTTTATCTTTATGGATAATTGGATGAAACATTTTTGTTATTTCTTTTTTGTGACTGATTATATTTTATGTATCACATTTTCTAAATTATTTTCACAAGTTGACAGCTTTTTGTCCGTTCCTCTTTGAATTAAAAATGAACCTTGTCGCTATTTTGCTGAACACAAAGCAATAGTACCAGAAGCAACAGAAGTGATGTGTTAATTCATGAGGTCCTGTAGATCTAGTATGGAGGACATGGACAATTCCTGTCATTTGGTTTTCCGTCATCGAACCAACTTTCCGATTTCAATGCAACTCCTTAAAATAATACAATAATCCGTGTGTGTGACCCATAAAATAACAAGAATATTATCATGTGCGTTAACATATTCTCTACTGCCCTCTTGTGGACTTCCTTACGTATTACGCAGAAATGCCAACATTTGTGGTGGGAAAAATACTAAATATAGGATATATATCCATCCATCCATCCATCCATTTTCATCCGCTACTGGGTCGCGGGGGCAGCAGTCTCCATGACCGCCACCCAAATCACATTGCACCGTATTAACCCCCCTAAACCTTCCTGCAGGTGGCGAGTCCACTGGAAGGTACCAACCGCCCTAAACGTGATTCGAACTCACCCAGGAGGTGAACCCTGGGGTTCCACACCAATGACAGAGACATTACCTCTGGGCCAAAGTGCCACAGGATATATATTATTTTATATAATATATGATATATATTGCAGTATTTATACACATATATGAGTATTTATACACACTAACGCAACATAACGTGGAAATTAACAGTGTTCTAGAGTTCACAAAGTAAAAATAAACGTGTTTCATCTCACTTTGATGCTGCAGAACATAATATCAAACTATAAACAGATTTTTTTAGATTTTGCCAAATGCGTTACCGGTTGTTATTCAGTTGGTGGAATAATTTGTATCTTTAGACCTAGAAAACATATAACTATCAGTTTTGGCTGCGTTTGATGAATGCTGTCAAAAGATTATATTTTATGTTAAAAACCAGTTCAGTGACAACTGTCATTTACAATGAAAACACTTTATTCATCATTTTGTATCATCTCAAATAAAACCGACCAGTAAAAAGAAAAGGAAAACAAAACAATACCTATTGAAATAATTCTCATACACCTTCAGTTGGAGTCAGCACAGATATTGTTTGAATGGCTTTCTGATTGCATTATCTACCTGTAAATCATGAGACATAATGTCATTTGTCATCAACACATTCTATTCAATGATTACAGTATATATGTATCTCTTTATATATATATATATATGGACACAAAAACCACAAGCCTATAGTAGAGGTGTGCCATACTGGAATGGCAGGCGGTTAGGGTTAAACTATCAAAGCATCACTTCAGCATGCATGGTTTACTGTCTACTAGCCTGGATTTAAAAAGCAGTCGGAGACGTCATATGCACTGAGAGAGAAAAAACATAAAATCATCGCTAAGACTGTGAAACTCTGTTCACTGACACAGGTCTACGTTAGAAGCTTTGCATTTACGTGTTATAAAGAGGTTATCTTTCTGTGTGTGCTCCTAGGATATACAAAATAGTCAGCTATAAGAAAGCACATGGCACATAGCATAACAGCTAAGGGATAGAACAGCATTAATATGATGAGAATAATTATAATAATAATAACAATAGAGTAAGAGGTGCAATCGTCCTATTGTCTGTCATTCTCCACTCTGTGTTACAGTGTATTTTACCTAAACATTTACATGAGGCTGAGACTGTATTGTACATGGCACTGCAGCAACACGTTTGAACAAAAGTACACACGGCAATGACTGGGAATAAATAAACTCAAAATAAATAAAGGAGTCAGACGGATTGTCGGCCGTAAAACTTCATCCAGTTCAACTTTCTACGAATGAATGTGTGCTCTTTAAAAATGCCGGGGACACACATCAACACGCACACACTGTACACAAAACCACACACAGACTGACAACGTAAATAAGATGGATTAAAAGTCAGAATAACGTGTTGACACTCAACGTCTCACCAGAAGTGCTGTGTGTGGTGTGACGACAAAGACAACGATCCCAGAACCATGTCACCACACGAATACCAAAACACAGTGTCTGCTCCCTCTGGTGGTCAGGCCACACTGTGTCTACCTTCTCTTTAACACTGGATTGAAAAGTGCCAATAAGTAGGACTGCTAATAATGACAGAAAATTCCATCTCCAATACATGTCAGCAGCGCCTCCTCAGGCATCCTCCAGGTGGCATCACTGAGTAAAACTGGATCGTGAACTTTTTTTTGTACTGTGTGCTGAAATGAAAGGACAAGCGTGGCTAAGTGAAACCCCGTCTGATGATGGACACGAGCTAAATGTTTCAGTAAGATACCTCAGCAGACAGCAGGAGGCCATGCTCTTAAAAATACATCGTTTAAAAACTCTGCAGATGGGCCATGGATATTTTTTTGTTAAACCCAGAAAAACAAGACAGCAGCTCTCCCACTGGTCCTTCCTAAACACATGTTTTGTTGAGGTCAACTTTCACCGGCAGAGGTCCAGCCTCCTGGCTCTCCTCTGACTGTTTCACAGCAACAGCGATCACAGGTGTCAGGTGGTAGGGGCTGACTTTTGGGGCATTGTCCAGAAACTCTTTGTCTCCGTTGATGCTTAGCTTAAAAGACAAAAGGGACAGAAGACGTGATATAACTTCCCAATCAGGGTTTTTGAACACCTACTGTTTATAAAAAATATTTAGGATTGAAAAAGAGTACAGTAACACTATTTTTTTAAGAAATTCTTTAAGTATCACATTGTTTTCGTCCTTCAGAATTACAGATGTTATCACATACATTGGCTCCAAATGTTTAAGTAAACTGTACCTTATGGTTTATTCTCCACTCTACAGCAGTAACACATGTATAGTAATTACAAATATTTTTTGGAAGTCTTCAATCAAGAAGAAGCGGTGTCTTTCCTCCTACATATATTTCCATTAATGTGAATTTTTATGGAAAACAGCTCTGTCTCCCTCTAGTGGCCAACCACTCCCTCTGTGATCTTCAGTTTCATCTTTGGTTGAATTCCGTTAATCATACCCGATGGGATGATAATAAAAGCAGGCTGCATTACTGTGGTTTGACGTAGCATGTGACTGAGGTTACAGACTGCAGATAAAAACCTTGCGCGGCCTCTAATCAACTGAACAGAGAAGTCGTATTCAAAACACAACAGTGACGTTGATGATCAGAGGAGTTAGGAATCACAGAACAAGGGACTTTTTTGTTGTGCGACGGTGAATGAACAGAGGCACCGACTTGAACACTCAGCTTAGACCATACTTTGACGTTCATGTTTTTGCAGTTCAGTGGAAAGAGCATGTATTTCACTCACAGTTTTTGCACATACCTGTGTCTTAATGTGCTGCTCTGGTGCAGTGACAAGGCTGGCACAGCTCAGCCACAACATGACCATGATGGACAAGAAGAGACAGGCTGCCAGGATCCAGCGAGGAAGACCCGAGCGTCTGCCAACAGCAGTGGAAGATTTGTCAAGTGAAAGGTTGTGAAAATGTACAAAAGAAAATATCATCATGTATCAGGCAAAACTACAACATTACATCATAATTAACATATAGCTGTGCACTGGATTTTGGGGTTCATGTCCCATAAGTGGCCCACAGGCCAGGACTTTTACACCCCACCTCCAAACCATTCAGGTCTTAATAAACTCTTATCATAAACCAAACACCGACTCACCTTGACATGCAGCCCAGGAAGTCGTGCTCAGCTGTGGGGTCATCTGTGTGCTGCACTGGGTGTTTTCCTTTACCTATTTTTGCTCCTCCTTTCTCTCCATGGCCCCTGACACCTGCGACACAAAACATCAAAATAAAAAAAAGTGATTTGAATATGTCATCTCAACACCAGGACTCCTGTGTGTGTGTGTGTGTGTGTGTGTGTGTGTGATTTCTCACCGTGGGGTCTCTGGGTATGAGAGTGCACCTGAGGCCAGGGTTTATCGGCTACGTTGGAGCGAGGAGCCTGCAGCTCGGGCACAGAGTACTCTATCTGCGGCTGGCTCTGAGTAAGACAGAGTAACGACAGCACACACTCTGAGCCCAGTCAAAGGAATAATACAGCAGAGGTATTAGCAGAGAAGAGGTCGAGTCATTTAGCAAGGTCACAGAGACCACCAAAACAATACCACGCCAGACAGAGAGTGGAGGGAAAAAAAAAACAACAACATATGTGAAGAAATAAATGTAATAAAGGCTGGGAGAGGGAGAGAGAAGTTTTTTTAATTTCCAAGGAGGTGAAGGTTGTTTTTGATCCCACTCCCACTCATGATTGGACAGGAGTCTCTCTGTGTCTAGTGTCTTTAAACTAATTATTCTCAAAGAAGGACTCGCAAAAATGTCCAAATGTTAGGCTCTAAAATCAAGAATATATATATATATATTTATATATATGTATATATATATATATATATATACATATA